CGGCGCCACGAGCTCAGCGCCCATTTCCAATCTACCTGCAAGAAGCATGCGCCCGACTTCCGTCCTGTGGCTCGCGGCCGTCGCTGCAGTGGTTCTCTCGTCCACCGTTACTGCCCAGCAGCAACAACAGCTCCCCGCGGGGCTTGAAGACTATGTCAAGCAGCAGCTCGAGCAAGCCATTTCCCAAGACGTAGCCCAGGAAGTTGCGCGGGCCGTCGCTGAGCGTGTGGCGCTGGAGCAGCGCAACCGCCTGTACGGCACGACGTCGCCGCCACCGACGTCGTTGACGCCGACGACGACAGCCCCGACGTCCAGTAACAGCCAACCAGTCCTTGGCTCGCCGGCGCCCGCCGGCGCGACGCAAATCCAAGGCGAGCTTCGCGCAATCGCTCAAGAGCGCGCCGAGCTCCAGAGAGAGCAAGAGACGCTCAACAAGGAGCGCATTGCGCTCAACGAGGTCATCGTGCAGTTGCAAAACCAGTCGACGGCCCCGGCGACAATCGCACCGGTGGCAACCAACACGTCGGCGCCGGTGACCGTCTCGGTGGCGTCGACGGCCGACGGCATCACCACGGACGACGACGCCGGTGCGCCGTGGGGCATCATTGGCGTCTGCGTCGGTCTCGTGGCCGCCGTCGCACTCGTCGTCGTCGGCGTCAAGAAGCGCAACGCGATGAGCGACGGTCTTGAAACGCCGGCCGAGTACGCATCGGGCTTCCACACGGCCGAGGCCGCCAGTGCGAGAGAGAGCAAGTGGGACTCGTACGAAGTCGTGACTCCTCTCGACATGGCCGGCGTGCCGCCCGAAGATCCGATTCTCGACGACACTACCGATGCGACGGCGGACGTCGAGGCGCCAACGCAGCTGAACGTGCGTGGTCGTGAAGCGGTGCTCTAAGTGTACTACGTGTCGTTTTCGTATCTAATGAATGGAAGCGGCCCCGTCGGCCCGCCTTGAGCACGTTTTAACCCACCACTCTACACCTGCATACCGCAACGCGCAACGCAGTGGAACTCGACTTTACGACGCGCTCGAACGATTGCAGTCGGAGCTTCAACCACTTAAATAACACCAACGGTCATCGCGTGTGCTAGGTGACGTCGAAATACACTTCTTGGCCAGGCTCGAGCGCCTCGAGGAAGCGGATGTACTTGGTCGATGATGGGCCGTCGCTGTCCAGGAGCGTTGCGTTGACAAACGGGCGCTTGCGCCCGCGTTTAGGCAGCGATGGCACATCGTCGGCCTTCTTCACATCGTACGCGTGCTTGGCCTTGCAGTGCGATTTCAGGTTGGAGATCGACGTCGTCTTCTTGTACGGGCATGTCGGCGTCGGGCACGAGTACTCGCCGGCTGCGTTCTTGTGCAGCGCAATCACCGGCCGAACCAAGACAACGTCCGGGCTCGACGGCGGCGACGGCGCCTTGACCTTCTTTGGCAGTCGTGTGGGGACTGGCTTGACTGCGGTCGTGGCCCGCGGCTGGACGGGAGCCTTGGTCGACTTGCGAGAGCGTTGTTGAGGCATTGGCGGTGGCGGCGGCTGCTCGAGTACGACATCCTCTTCGTCGTCCGATTCCTCGCGAATGTGCAAGCCGTGTTCGCGGAAGCAGTGAAACTGGAAGATATTGAAGTCGACGTGCTCGTAGTTGCACGTTGCCTCGGGACACTCGAACGGCTCGAGCGGGCGCTGACGCGGCGGCGACGCGGAGCTCTCGCTCGACGACAGGCCCGCGAGCGATCGCCGCGCCGGTCCACGTCCCCGCAGCGGCGAAACATCTTGGTCGTCGTCGTCGTCCGAGTGGTAGCTGCTGCGGCGCGGCGGTGTCGGGCGCACCGAATGACGCAGGTTGTGAAAGGGGCTTGGGGTCGGTGCGACGTCCGGCGTCGGCGGCAGCGACGGCGTCTCGGGCGTCTCGGGGCGGTACGCGAGGCTGGCCAACGGCGCCGAGGCCCGTATCGGCGTCCGAGGCGAGTCGGGGCAGTAGACACCTTTGGCCGCAGGCGATGATGGTGCCATGTCGTGTGCCAGTGTTTGGGACGTCGGCACGCCGCTTGTCGTCATCGCCTCGGGCAGAGCGTCCGTGGCCGACCCTTGAACGATGGACGCAGTGACGCAAGGCTCGTCGTGGTCATCGAGATAGTCGACGTCGTCATCGAGATAGTCGACGTCGTCTTTAAAATCCGCGCCGGGCGATGGCGGCGACGAGAGTTCTAGGAACGTCTGCTGCTGCACTGCCTCTTCCTCTGGCGGCGTAAACGTTAGCACGTCGTGCTCGGACGACGCGTCGAGGATCGATGGCACTGCATCCAAACCAGCGAGTCGAGGCTTCTCTTCAAAGTCGAGAGGCTTCTCTTCAAAGTCGAGGCCGTCGTCTCCATCGTGGCCATCAAGATTGTCGTCACCACCGAGGTCCGCGCCCTGCGACAGCGGCGGCGACGCCTCAACCGGCGCACTCAGCACGTGAGTTGACGCTCCTTGCGTCTCGGAGGGCGACGAGACAGCTGTCAGCACGTCGTGCTCGGACGACGCGTCGACAGGCGGTGTACACGGCGCGGCGGGGATCGATTTTGGTTCGTGCCCCGGTGCATCACTGGACGTCGCCGCACTTGACGTCGGTGCCGCCTCCGCGTTTTCCTGTCGCACCAGCAAAGTGTTGGAGCGCTCGGCCGAGGACACTTCTTCTGCGCTTGCGGCAAAGACGTCGCGCGGTCGCGGCGACGGAGGAGTCATGGGCGGCGCGATCGATGTGGTCTCTTCTGTGGTCGCTGCGACGGGCCCGAACACGGCGGAGGAGGTGAGCTTAAAGGCCATTGCAGTGAGTTGCGTCGCTCGAAAGGCTACAGCGACACGACGCGGCGATGAAGTCGTTGGGACATGGCCTGTCGCTGGTTCGTCCGGGTGCAGTGTCGTTGCGGGCGTCGGCTCCATCGATTGCCGGTGGGTCGGTGACGCTGGAAGCGCGTTTGATATCGGGAGCATGATGGCGCCGTTGGTCTCTGGCGATGGCCGCTGCGTCGACGCGGTCAACGATGCAACATGCGTGGATGCAAGGCTCCTGTGCGGCGGCGTTGCGTCGATCGCATGCAGCAAGTGACGACCGTCGTGCGCAGAAAGCATGTGCTGGACGCGGGCTTCTCGCACGTGCTCGCCGTCGATGGTGCTCGGCGCTCCGATTGCAATCCCAAGCTCGTGGCGCGCCTCGGTGTGCACGGCCAAGGACGCAACCTCGTCGGTCTCAAAGGTGCAGCTGTGCTGGGGGCACTCGAGCGTACCGTTCCGACCGCGCTGGATGGGCACGACGAGCCCCGACTTGGAGCCAGCAACCATGGCCTCGTCGGTAGCGTCCAGAGGCGCCGCGCGCACCACCTCGAGGTCGTGTGCCTGCTCGGTGTGGTTCTGGACAACATACAGCTTCGGGTGCGCAAAGCCACAGCTTTCGACGGGACAGGGAAAGGCCAAGTCGGCGTTGCGGCG